CCGAAGTCTGTGGAAGGCCATAATGGCCCTGCTTTAAGTGGTTCACTGCTCCCGCAGCTCACCATGCTGTCTCTGCCTCCGCCGCCATCTTGGATCTCTGGTGTACTGGATTTTTAAGCTGTTAATCAAAGGATCAGAAGTTCCAATGCACTAGCCACGGTCCCCCTCCTTCCCCCCCTCCCGAAGAATTATGAGGCCATCTGCTGCCATTAAGACTCAGAGCCTCAAGCTGAATGGAAGGTTACTATGAGTCCAAATGGACTCAAAGGCTGGTTTTGTTTTAGGGGTGGAAGAAAGGATCCATTAATTCCTTGACACTATTATCTGGTTCTCTGGTAGGCAGCTAAAACCTTAAGTAAGGGCTTGACAAATGACAGATGGAAGTTGAACTTGCATTCACAGAAATGTGATGTACCAAGGGGATTTAAGGAGAGTATTGTTGTTACTGTTGTTATGTGCCATCAAGTTGCCTGTGACTCACAGCGATCCTCTGTACAATAGCCCTAAACCCTGCTCTATCCTGCACCAATACCACTGTCTCTGACACACCTACTCCCACTACCCCAGTCACTGAATCAATCCATCTAATCAAGGGTCTTCCTCTCCTGTGCTGTCCCTCCACCCTCCCAAGCATGACAGCCCTCTCCAAGGACTGGTCCCTCCTTGCAGCATGTCCAAAGTATATCAGACGAAGCTTCAGAATCCTTGCCTCCAAGAAGCAGCCTGTTTTCACCTTCTCCAGGATGAACTTGTTTGTTCTCTTAGCAGTCTATGATATATTCAATACTATTCCCCAGCACCACAGCTCAAAAGCACCAATTCTCCTTCTATCATCCCTAGTCATTGTCCAGCTCTCTGATGCATAGCAAGTAGTATCATTAGTAACTGTACTATATCTCTCTACCTGAACTCTCAAACACTCACTTTTAAGAAAATAATGAAGCAACATATTGCAGTTATTAAAAGCATAGACCAAGCACAATAAACCATTGTTGGAAAAAAAAAAAAAGCATAGACCAAGAGGTCACAGATCTTGGAATGAAAGCTTCTGCCACTTCCTAGATATATAACCATAGGAAAACTATCTATCAAAAGTTACTCTAGTCCTGAAAAGTCTTTTAAAAATAGCAACTTGTAGGAATATTAAATAAAATGGCATTCGTCAAAGGCTATCATGGATTAAAATGTGCCTCCCCAAAATACAAGTATATAATGATATATAATATGGAAGCTATGAAATTATTATTCCTCATGAGCTGATGAATCAAATAGCTGTATAAGGATTAAAGATAGCAATACTCCTTAATTTCATAGCAGTTTTAAACTAAGAGGAAGTTCTCGAAGGTAGCCTGTAATAACTTTTATTTTACAAAGATTAAAGGGAAAAGACCTCAGTATCACCAAGAAATAATTGCTAATACTGGAGTGTCTCCTTGGCTGCTGAGGTAGGAAGCTCCTGACACTGGGAAAGGCAAAGACACATGGAAACCTGAGTCTCCAGACGTTGAAAGCAAGAGGAGCATTCCCGTAGAACCAACAGAGAGGGACAACTTTCCCAAGAGCTACCATTCTGAATTTTTTACTTCTGGATTCCTAACCTGAAAGAGAATAAATTTGTTTACTAAAGTCATCCCTTGCGGTATCTGATATGGCATAACTAAGGCAGGAATACAATAAATTGATAAAATAGTAAGTTGTTATTCTCATCAGTAATGTATATACTCCTCAATATACCACACAAAACTCTCCACTAAGTTTTGTTCAAGCTTCCTTCTCTTTTTTTCTCTTGGATTTCCTCTATTTCCCTCACATACTCCCCTCTCCCTGCCATACCGAACTGCTTATATATGCATGCTGCGTTCTAGTGTGGAACAGGAACGCTTGTCTTTCTGTCAGTTTATTATCTGATACAAATATTTTGTACACAAATTTTTGGATCTTCCTGGAATTTCCAAAGCAAAACGAAAAAATGCTTTCCTTTCAAAGTGCACTGTGTTGCCTGTACCTATATTTTCATTACTCAAAACTCAACACTGTGGAGTGGGTTTTCAGAAGGTATAAAATCACACGGAGATGGCCCATCTTTCCAGCCCAACTACTTATCCTTAAAATAAAGGATAAAGTGCTTCCCGCTACTCCCAGTTCTGTGGCATTTTTAGCAACAGACCACAAGCAAAATATAGCATTTTCATGAACCTTTCTTAAATCACAAACTTTGGCCCATAGGGCTCTATCTTGTTAAAAAGAGGAAACATATTTGACCTGCATAGTTTTGAATTTTTTCCCCCCGTGGAGTCTAACACAGTAGGAAGCTGCCCAGATTATGGTATCAGGAATGCCTGAGCACTACTTCAGTAAATCTGAAAGCTAGGGAAGTTAAAACTTCCCGGGCACCCAAGAGCACACGAACAAAGCAAACATTTACATCCAATGTTTCAAGTGTAACATTTTATGATGAAAAACAAAGCCATCTGTGGAAAACATCTGCAAGCAGTAACTCACTAAACTTGCGTTTTTAATTTTACAAGTTAACTGCAATGAACAAATGAAACAATCTAACTACCCTCTAGTCTGTTCCCAGTCTGTGGAGTCTTCGAGGCTGTAAATTCTACGTGGACGCGACCTCTTTCTTCGCGGCCATCCCGCTCGCCCGTGGCTCTCTTAGCCCACCCGTGTCATCAGGCATCCGCTCTGCTGACACTGCCCCCGTCCCGGCCCCCAAACCAGCACCCCGCGGGGTACCCACGGCTTCGGCCCTGGCGCGGTCGGCTCGAAGTTTCTCCCTGAGGACGCTCACCTGCAGTCCCTGCTGCTGGAGACTCTGCGAGATGTAGTCCAGGCGGCGACATACGCTCTTCTTGGCCTCGGCCGCTGCCCCCTTGGTGCTGCTCACCCGTATTGCGACCTGCGCCCGGTCAGGGGCCGCGGAGACCTCCGCGGTGCCGCTGACGTGCACCTCGCGGGTTGTAGTATGAGACTGCGCTGGAGGGAGGGGAAGGTGGGGGCCAGGCAGCGTCTCTCCGCGCGGCACCAGGCTGTTCTCCCGGCCCTTGTCAGCCCAAGGAACAAGTTCCACGAAGACCCGCGACGGAGGGGCCTGTGGCAGGGACATAGCGGCAGCAGAAGGGTTTCCATAGTAACCCAGAACGACGGCAGCCGACAGGGCCACGAGGGCCCGGCGCTAGGAATGCCGGGATAAGCGCTGAGTGCGGCTGGTCCGCAGGGTGTGCGTGCTGAGTGCGTCGCTCCTTTTTAATATGTTTGCCTCCTACCCTAAAATATACAAACTAGCTCCTGGCAACTTCCCTCTGAATGAGCTCCACCCCTCTTCACATCCGCCTCCTGAGGAGTTTTGGGGAGGGTTAGTGGACCTGGAGGGCGGAAGGTTAGCTTTTCTATGTCTCCGCCCAGCTTGCTAAGTCCTATGGGCTTAAGCACCAAGGACGTGATGAGGATGACACAGGATAGAGTAAGATTTCGATCAAAGATACACGGGACGTGGTCTCAACTCGGATACCACTCCTGGGACCTAACCACATGACCTGCAGTTACCTCCAGCCATGTCTTATCTGACTTTAGTTATTACATCTGGGGATTCTAAAGGCCACTTAAAAAAGCAGTTTTTTGAGGCCAATGATTTCATTAAGCTACGTTTTATAGTTCATAAGAAAGTTGTTATGAAGCACGTTTTGCCAGTTAGATTCTGGGAAGTCTGTGATTCATTCTCCTGAACGCCAGCTTTTTCTAGAAATCCATGTTGATAACACATTAGGTATGCCTAAGTAAGGGGTTGTCTGCATGCACAGGACTTGGCATATGGAAGCCACGGTAGAAAAGAATAAAAATTACTAGTAGTAATACCTTGATTTGACTTTCCACTTTCTTGACACATACCTGAGAATGGTCTTGGCTCTTAAGGTTAGACGTTTAAAAAACCCAAAATCAGTGTGCATATGTGCCTCCTGCTCGCCCATACACCCTCATAAACTTACAACCTGCACTCAAAGTCATTGCCCTCAAGTCAGAACGTACTCTCAGCTGACTCTCCACTAACTTAAGCCATCTAACAAGAACTCATTCGTGGTATTTGTCTTATAGTAGCATTGCATAATTAAGACAAAATTTTTTTTTAAGATCTACTTGGGAATAAGCCTGAAAAAATACTTGACAATCGTCAATATCACATCATCATTCCATCTCTATTGTTTTCTTCTTCTTTTTCTTCAGTGGGAATAAAATAATCAATGAAATAGAAATGTCTCCTTTATCCCTTGACTGAGCTCTTCTTTTTAAAAAAAATTATTAATTTTACAACAGTGGCACTATGCAGTATTTGTCCTTTTGTGACAGAGACATTTCACTCAGCATAATGTCCTCCAGGGTCACCAATTTTTAATAATATTGCATGAGTTCCTTGTTTTTCTTTTTTAAATAGCATTCAGTTTATTACAAATATTTAGTACTGGCTTCCCATATTCCCCCTTTTGTTTTTATCATAATTATGTTATCATCTAGATGAGCATCATTTATATACAAACAGACAAATAAAACAAATTAAACATAAAAAAACTCAAAGAAATACTTGAAATTTAGATGCACTGTTATAATTTGTGCTTAGCCGTACATGTTCAT